TATGTTTATTTGTCAAGTATCGTTGTATACAGATATTTATGGTCATCTTGCATCATATGATTGTAAGAAAAAAGATTCAAAGAGTGTAAACTATGGAAATAGAATCGATGTCCTCTAGAGCAACAGGACTGGTTTGAAAGAAAACTAAATGATTCTAACTTTAGACCTGTCGAACTTTTAATCGAGAAAAACGTTGTGGCTTTTTTTATTTCGGTGATTAAGTTACAAGATAATACTCTGCTCAAAGATAAATTTTAAATGATAAGAAAGTCAATTAAACTGTTGAATATTGACAAAACTACTGATAAAAACATTAAAAAAATTTTCTTTTTTTTCGGATATTTATTATCTTATATTGATGATATAGTTATACTTTTATTCGTTGTTGCGTTTTCATCATCATATTCCAATGATTCGTTGAAAGTAATTACAATATAATATCTATTGACAGATGAAAAAAATATACTAAACTATGTTGTACTTGATATTGGAACAGAAAGAATAGTAGCATATCAATCACTTTCAATAATTGTCCTACAGTGATATTATAATTTCCGAATTCACATATATAGCTTCACACTCGTATGAGCTTGAATTGCAAGTGACAAGAAAATGTCCTCATCGAAACACAAAAACACAACTAGCAGCATATATCGTAATACTAATGAGTAATCACAACAGAATTATTTCAGAGTCACAAAAATAACTTGAATGAAGTTCAAAATCGTTAAGGTTGAAGAATGTTTTCATATTAGTTTGTGATAATAAATAGGTTCCCGATTCCCGAAGGAAACGGGAGTGGACCGAACTCGACGGCACTGCAGTGTCGAGACGATCCGTGGCACAGGTCCGAGTGAACTCGGGTGATCCCGGCCGATGTCCAAAAATCCGCTTGAAAGAGCCTGGCCCCAATGGGACCAGCGCCGGCTTTCAAACCGACGAGAACAGATACTACACTTTGATCTTAGCCGAAAAGGCCGAGAAGCGATAACTATTTTAATAAACTGAAAGCTCGACATTGGTCTTCTCCTTACACATTACCTAGTGCACAGAACAAGAAAAATATGTAATGTGTAAAGACAAAACAGATGTCGTGCACTGCACACTCACAAGAAAAGTTGCTTATTACAATTTACTAAGAGGTAAATGATCAAATCTGATCAAATACATGTTGCGATGACGAAAACGTGTGGATTGGTGGTAACACTAGTCTGCCAGAGCAACATTTCGAAATAACAAAAAAAAATAAAACTTTTAAGATCACATGTCAGTGCACTGCGTAGTATTTTATTGACCACGTGTTTTTGATTTTAGTATTGTTTTTTTTGCAATATGTATGTTATCAAATGTGAGATTGTATGGTTCGTAATTTCTTTCATTGAATGTTCCAACATTCTTGAAAACTGCTGGATTGCGATATTTTCAACATCCATCGAATAGTTAAATAGTCATCTCTCTTTATTTTTTTTTTATTTGTTCATATATTTATTGGAATCTTTTTTTTGTTCTGATTATATACTGCTTGTTGTAATGACTACTCATTCATTCATTTCTCTTCTTTGAAATAATCAACGAATAGTAAATCCGTGGATAGTAAATCGTGTAAACCAATACTACTGCATATGCTACTTTTTACTTGAGATCATCATAAGAATTTGAATAACTAACCAGTAAATATGAAATTAGATGATAAGTAACAAATCATCTAAAAGAATCATATCTGAACAATTGACCAATAGAAATAATTTCATATTCGATAAATACACAAACAATTAATTTATCAGCATTGCCTAATAATAATAAAATGACGTTCATCAAAATTGTCAAATATTATTTTTGGTAGATTACCATGTTATATTTAGATTTAATGTAAAATTTGATTTCAAGACAAATACATTTTGTATTCGTAATAATAGCTTTTTGTACTTAATCTGTTGTACGACCAGCGGTCTTTGCATATAAATAATCTATGTAAACTTGTGTAAGATTATCACGCCTTAAAATAATTAATTCTATTGATATAAATAATTGTTTTTAATTGATACAAATCATTGGTTAGTATCGGATGAATTTAATATTATTTTATATCAGCTGTTGAACAATATTTTGCTAAAAAAAAGTTCTTTTAAAGAATGAAAAATATTTTGAAATCATTCGTAGATAATACTGAATAATTATATCGACATGAAATATTTTATTTTTTTAGAAAAAAACCGATAAATTCGTCGATTTCATGGGAATTTTCTTGCTTCGTATTTGCTTAACATTTAATTGTTTTATTAGTATCACCTTTTGTTTCGTATTCTACACTTATATTGCTTTGATCATGAAAATGATTATTTAATCAAGAGAGAACGAGTACATATGAACAGCTTGAATCATATTACTCTGTTTTTCGATCGCATCCGTTTCTTTGTCTCTTCTTTCTATATTCAACACATATACGTAAAATAGTCTCGATAATTCATCTACAAACAAATCTTGTCCCTCATCGATTTATTTTCTATTGTCCACAGTAGAGACGATCGTTTGTGTTGTCTTCATTATATCCGATAGTAGTTGATCAGAAAAAGGACAAAAAGTGACATATGTAAGCTTTATTATGCAATTTCATCCATATTTTTGTTGTTCAATTTAATAATCAGATTTTTTTTTCTAAGAAATATATTTAACAATGAAATATATTTTTAATAATATGATCTAGTAATGAAAACAATTCATAATCGATGTTATCCTCAAGAGAATATGTAAGTAGAAAATTATTTTATACATTAAATCAAAATGCTAACAGTATTTGATATAAATATAAACGTGTTGATTATATGTCTGCAGCTGTCTAAAGTACATGTGTCTCAGATATCTTTGAATAATTTCTTTTTTAGTCTTCATTGTGAAGACTCAAGTCAGATTTCTTTATCGAAATGAATGTAAGGGAAACATTTGAAAATATATTAAGGACTTAATTAGAATTCATCTATTATTCTAAGACATCGATTTATGAATATGAGTATTTTTATTCTTGGAAATTCATTCTTGAGACTTTCACACATGTTCAAGAGTTGTTGTTAGAATATGTAAATAGTATACTGTGTAATTATTTTAAAAAATAATTTTATGCTATCATCATCTAGAATTTTACATATTGAATATAGTTGGTTAAAGCGATAGTAAATATGAGAAAAACAAAACCTACTAACACTTTAATCTCGTTTGACATAAAAAAAAAGCATAGGTTTCCGTTGAGCAAGAACTAACATAGTCAAATATTGAGAAAAAGATAAGAAGATAAACTGTTATATATATAAATCAGCGGATTTTTATATGAATAGTTATTATATGACATATTATTATAAATTTTTATCATTATTTTAAAAAAGAAATATTCGATTTCAGAATAAGAAAACTTTTTTTTTAAAAATATATTTCAAAACAATATTCTTCATGAGATTTCAAGTATATTGACATGGTAAACAATTTCTTCGTTTTTTTTTCTTCCTATTACATACATAATGGATTATATGGATAAATTTTGAGATTCTAATTTTCTTTTTACATGAAAATTAACATACTTTTATTTAAAATAAAATTACTTTCAATTTAATGCACTTTGAATATCAATTTTAGAGATTTTATGTTTCGAAATTTTTCAATTAGATATTTGAACAAATAGATGATTGATGTAAAACAAATAATAAGTTATTCATTGTTTGACATGTGAAAATAGCAGTTTTTTTTTGTTCTCAATTATGTATACAAGCTTGTTTAAAAAATGATCTATATTTTCTTTCCTTTGATTATTATAATTGCAAGATTTTATCATTTGAATACAGACACTATTTAATTTGTGCATAAAAATATTGAACTTGTAATTATTCTAATTCAATTGTATGAATAATTAAAATATTCTTGTATTAAATAAATAAATGATGTTTATTTGAAATTATTCAATGTTTATGAATCCTAAAATAAAATATTATAGAATTTGTTAAAATAATCATATGTAAACATAAGATTATTGGTTAAGAATCTCATTAATAGCAATCTATATAAACTTATAGTCAACATTTGTTTAAACTGAACTATATATCAAGATTTACATATAGCTAGGAAGTAGTTATGTATATAGTGAACAAAAATACATGTATTAGAACATAAGTGAATATTAGTAAGAAGAATGTGTAATGTAGTAATAGTGAAAGCATGTAATTAATTTGAATCATTTTGATTCATTGTTTTTTATTGCATCATCAAAGAAAAAGATATGTTCGTATTCGTTATATTAATAATATATCGATAGATAGGAACAAAATGCTAAAAATTAGTCGAATTTTTCTTTTACTTACATTTATCAATGATTTAAAAAATTTAATTTAGATCTGTTCGATTTCATAATAATTGAAAATTGTAGATATTTGTTCTTTTTTTTTTCAACTAAAATAACTATGCATAATATTAGGAAATATCTTAATACATAACTACTTACGAGGAATCTGCAGGTTCTCACAGTCTGATTTCCAGTTTTTGTCTATAGATACTGTATAATGCACTAGTAAAAACTCTTAAAGGATTTAACTTTCTATCTCTTCCTTCATAAGCTATGAATATTTTTATTTTATCTCTATAGTGAATAGTATATAATATTAAATTATTTTGATTTTTATATTGTTACAAGATGGAATTATTGCTCAATAGTAGTCTACTCACTACACACTTGTTATTTTCCTTTTCTATTTTACTGATATTTTTCATGGGTTCTATCATTACTCATTTTCTATCATATGTGACACATTTGTATATTTTTTCCGATTCTGTCTATAATACATTGTCTTAAATCTTTTCTATAACAGAGTTTCTCCTTTTCTTCACTATAGGTTGTAATCTGTTATCCACTTTGATCCATGAGGTTCTTCTCTTCTTTCTATATAACTGCTGATTTTCTATGAAAGGTGTGATATAGTATGCGATAATTGACAATATAAAAATCAGTACTATAAACACATATGATCAACGATAGTCGCGGTGGTTCGTTTTACGTCAAATAGTGTGCTATATCATCTTCTCTCCGAAAACGAAATTCTATAACATGATAAGGAAAAGAAATAAAAGATTGAAATGTCTGTGAATATTGCAGATATCAAATGGCATCAGAAAAACAAAATTCTGACTCTTAATTTGCATTGTGATTGACTGGTGAGTTTTTTTAATACGATGGGTATGTTATGTACTATCGGGACAAAATAAAAATATTCATAACTATTGAAGAAAAAGATAAGAACTCAAACCTTTTGAGAATTTTTACTAGTGCACTATATAGTATTTATAAGCAAAAACAATCATTGGAATTGGAGGTGGATAAGGTGGCACCTAGAGATGTTCTTCCTCGTTAGTCAAAGCTTTTAGGATGAAAATGTTATTATATATATATCTTTCCGTAACTTAATTGATTGAAATCCAAATTTGAGAATGAATCTATTAGATTTCAGTTCTTCGTACATGAATATATACTTTCTCTATAGTAATCAATAGTAAACGTTTATCACTTTCTCGCCCTTGTTTTTTTATTTTTTGTTTACATCATTCAAGTTTTTTACTACCAACTTTAATTAAATGTCATCTTGCATTATATAGAGACGTTCCATTTCGATTGGTCTTGTAGTCACCAGTCTCACATTAATCACTTTCGTTTATGTTGGTTCTTCTACAAATAATTATTATACAGTGTTGCAAAATTTTCAATTTTCTCGTGGTAAAAATCTAAGTGATCCATCATCAGTACGTGTATTATGTTTAATATTAACATCACCAAAATACATTCATACACGAGCAAAAGCTGTTCATGAAACATGGGCACCACAATGTGATCGTCACTTTTTTATAACAGAATATTTTGGAAATAATATAACATCAAAACAAATCAACATTACAGAACAAATACCTATTGCACCAATTAAAAATATTACAGCTGGTTATGATCATCTAACACAAAAATCAACATTAGCTTTTTTATTTGCATATGAAAATTACTTGAATGATTTCGATTGGTTTGTCAAAGCAGATGATGATACTTATGTGATTGTTGAACATTTGAAAACATTTTTAAATGAACAAAATCCATCGGAACCTGTTACATTTGGATATAATTTTAAGGTGATTACTTGTGAATAGATTATTTATTTCGAATAGTATCTTTTGAAAAAGTGAATGATAAGATGTTGTATCTATGGAATAAGATAAGTAGAATTATTCTGTCTACTGTTCTCTGAAAAATTTCGATCAACATAGAAAAAAATTATATTTGACAACCATTGAATTTCGACTCATAATATCGATTAATAGTAGATAATTATTCTTTTGTCTGAAATGTAGCTAAGCAAGAAAAGAAAACCTTTTGGCAAACAAATTCATTTAAAACTCTATCCCTATCTACAGGATAGTCCAAAAAAAAAAACTTATCCTCTTAGAAAATGGAATTCCTCAGTTCATAATATTCATGTTTTTGAATCAATTCCTTTTGCAATAGATAGAGCTGAAAAAAAAGCTACTAAATAAAAGTATCTTCCTTTTGAAAACATTCTATCGTCAGTTAGAAGAGAAAAGGAATCCAAAAAAAAATGAAATCTATTTCGGAACGAAATCATTTTCTCTATTTTTCGATCTTTTGTAAAAATTCAATAGTTCGATAAAGAAACAGTAGGATAATTTAAAATTCTTCGGCTACATTTCTAAACATTGATAGATTAGGTAGACATGAGTTATTGAGAATTATTGCGTATTTTCTTATAAAGCGATATATCGGACTAATTCAGCTCTTTCGTTACTTGAATTAGTTTTAATGACGATCAATTATATACCATAGGTCAAGAGCTTCAGTGACTATAACAATATGTGTAAAATATTGATAAATTTTGGTTGTATGATCCGAAACAAGGTATGATATAATAGAGAAGCACGGAACAGCAATTTGTAGCAAACTAAAATAATCGTCTGAAAATGAAAAAAAAATCTTTGAAAAACAATTCTTTTTAAATCAAAATATTTTTCATAATGAGTATATTACTCACTCTATAGTTACACCAAATTTTGAAGTCAACAGTAATTTTCAGAGAAAAATCTTTTATTTGCTTTCTGATGAGGATATACTATTTTAGTATAGATTTCATATTTAATGAATTTATTAGTTGTTACTAGTTGCGCTAAGTTGTTTTCAAAATAAAAATATTTCTATCTAGTAGATTTTCTATAGTTATATCTATTGCAGAAAGAATTCGACTAAAAACTAAATTCTAAAAGAATATGAAAAAGAGCCAGGAATAAGTTCTTTTTTTGAACCACTCTCTATGACAGTTTGCTAGTTGTAATGTATCAATAGTCTAAACTAATTATCATTGAAGGAATGATAACACAAGTGAGTTGATTTTTATCTTCACATATTAACATACTAGGTAACTATTATGTAGATAAATAAGTTCAATATGGCAAATAAAAAAAAAACTTTCAAAACCAAAATATTTTGAAGTTATAAACACGTTAAAATATCTTTATAAATTTTTTTTAAAGATACATGTACCAAAAGGATATCATTCCGGTGGAGCATCTTATGTGTTAAGTCGAGAATCATTACAACGGTTTTATGAAGCACATAAAGATCCAACATCAAATTGTCGTAAAGATGGTGGTAGTGAAGATGTTGAAATAGCTAATTGTCTTCGTACAAAAGGTGTTTATCCAGGTAAATCACTCGATAAACAAAATCGTGAATTATTTCATCCACTTTCATTTACTGATCATTTTCGGGGTTTATTTCCTGATTGGCTCGAAACATATGCTGAGAATCCACCACAAAATGTAAGTTAATATTTTAAAATGATGTTATTTGCTTAAAATTAATATGATTGATTTGTTTTTCTTTTGATTAGAATTACAATTGTTGCAGTGATCAAACAATTTCATTTCATTATGTTAGACCTGAAGAACAATATCTAATGTATTTTCTACTATATAAAACTCGATCAACATCACATATTGATCCAAAATTGATTAAAACATCACATAGCTCTATGATACCGGTGAACTAATGTAATGATGTAAAATTTATTGAATTCTTTTTTTTTTAAATTCCTCTTTTTAATGAAAGAACAGAATAGAAATTAATACATAGACATGTTCATAATTATTGATAATCTTCTTATTGTTTTTCGTTTCATTAAATGTTTGACTACATAAATATATCATGTAACAAATGTTTATGAATTTATTATATTTCATCAGAAAGTATTTTACTACCAAAAATCTTGTTTAATGATTATTCATTTCGAAAATCTATAAACAAATATTCGAATTCTATTTTCTATTTATACAAATGATTATCAATTCATTAAACAAAGCAACATTGAATATCAAAGAGTGTGCAATTTTTTGAAAATTAAAAAAGAAAATGAAAAACTAAATGTCGGTTAATGATTAACAAATAACAATATATTCAGCGAAAATTAAGACGTGAACCCAAAATTTGTTGATATAACTTGATAAAAGTACAAAGAATGAGAACGTGCTTTTGATGTGTAAATTAAAGCAAAATTATTAGAATGAGAGGACAAAATCTATTAAAATAACAACCCTAGTCAAACATTTTTTTCATGTCCGGACGTTAAGATGTGTCCATATTACATGACTTTCTTTTCATCGACAAGCACTTGAATATATGCATGAGCTATGTACACATTCAAAGTAGCTCATATGCTAAATTCATGAAAATTACACCAATGAGCACACTTGAAACAATGAACTAGAGGAAATAATAAAAGCTTTTCTACTCAAGATGAAAGAATACTGCTTGCCATTGAGAATGTCTGAGTCTACTTATATAGATTCTTATTTTGGTCTGTCTGTTACAGACTTTGTTATTTCACCTGTGAACTTTTGTTATGAGCCGAATTGTTTTGAATGTGAAACTGAAGAAAAAAAACAAAAAGTACGTACAAAACGTAATTAAAATTAGTAGTTTCATGCATCATAGATATCATTTTCATAGTCGTGAAAGATGAGCGAATCTAATGGAATATTACTATGGCTAGCTTGCGATGGAAACGAACTTTTATTGTTAATCTATGCGACTCGTAATGTTTTTCATAAAGTATTTCGTGTGTAATCATCTTTACACATATTTGAACAAGAAATATAAACGCTTAAAAAAGAACTCAAGCGCATGAATAAGAGACTCCTCTTATCGAAACATAAACTGTATCATCAAGGTCTTTTATTTAGCATACATGTCCATCATTTAGATATGTATTATTTACCTTATTGGTGAACATCATCTCATTGTGTTCTCAGACAAGAATCAACTATTTTTAAATATTGAATGTAATGTAGAAAAAACATTGATAGTTTGATGCAAAATTATTGTTAATATTCATTCGAACAGAGCTAGCTACGTTAAGTGTACAGTTTACTAGAAAAAAAAATTATTTATACTAGAACTTAAAATGTAACGTATTCAATATTTTACATATGAACTCAATTGAGCAACAGAGAATTAAGTAAAGCATTGAGTATTTTAGAATTTTTCAATTTTTTCAATGTGCAAAACCTATAAATGAAACTTGAGCATAGAACAAGTATCGATTGTATCCATTGAAAACATAACAATCGGTTCTAGTCATTGAACACAAAAGTTAACATTAGCTTATTTTACATGCATATGGAAATTATTTGAAAGATTTTAATTGTTTCGTCAACAAAGATAAGAATGTCATATTTGATTGTTGATCATTTGAAAGAATTTTTTAAATGAATAAAGTTCATCGGATTCTATTACATACGAATCTAATTTTTTTTATTTCATCGTGAATTCAATTTTATCTTTAAAAGAATTTAGAACTATTTTGATCGATTTTCTTAATGTTTTATAGAAAAATAGTTATTAAAATCTTTTTGATTCAACCAACACTAGATGGAATAATATTCTATGTCCAACATTTTGCTAAGCGGACATATCCATTTCGAATTATAATAAATCAATAAAACAGCTCAGTAAAAGGTTTTTATCAATATTAATTTCAAATCATAAGTCCAAACAGATTTCATATAAGTGAAACATCTTATATATTGAATAGAGAATCATTATATGGTTTTATGAAGCCTCAACATAAAATTATGGTAGAGATAGTAGTATTGTGGATAAACAAATTGTAAACTTCATCATTCCTTTACATTTTAAATTCCTTTTCCTGATTCAGTATAATTTTCGCTTTTTATAATTGTTTTTTTTTTGTTCATTACATTTGTAGCAATACTCAAACAGTTGTATTCCATTAAATTCAGTATGAAAACCAATATCTGATGGATTTCTTACTATATAGAGTATGATCGACATCAAAATGAGGTTCATTTTGTAGTTTCTGACTATTATTAAATGACAATACTGAAGTTTTAAATGTTTTCTGATACTAACTAATCGTTCATTGTTTTATTGTTCATCAAAATGATCAAAGACATGAATATGTATGCATTTGATACACTATCGCAAATTCTAGAAGTATTCACTTGCAAAATACGTTTTATAGTAAGTATTCATTTTTGGTAGTGTATCATATATGTTAGATTTTTCAATGATATTTAATTAATATCCTCGAAATTTTCTTTTATTGGTAAAAATAAAATTTTTCTAGATAAAACATTCGAATATATTATTATATTCATTTAGAAAAAACAAAGGTCGTATTTAAGTTGACTATTGAACAGAATCACAATGGAAACACATAAATAATAATTGTCTCATATTAAATTTTCTTTTTATTACCAACATATATGAGATATAATAAAATCTTTTTATTCTTTCTGTTCGAAAGAAGTAGGCGTTGACTTTTTTCAATAAAATTCTCATGTATTTAAATATTTAAGTTTGAATATATTTCTGTTGACGAATCATCAATATCATGAATACTAAGACGTTCTATATATTTACTTCACAATTATTCTACAAAACATTTAAGAATGTTGAAAGTATTCGGATTTGGATTTGAATTGTTGTTATTAGTATTGTTTCTATCTTCCAATAGTTTTTTTTTTATCATAATTCTGAATATGTTTCATTGACATAGGTTATTGACTTTGGAGATTATGTATTTGCGAAAGAAGTATTTAAGAATTAATACATGCATATGGACTTATTAAGATAGAGAGAAAACGGGGTATTTAGCAATTCGTAGATATATCTGATATTAAATAGTATCGATGGAATGAGTATATTTTGATGCAAATGTGTATATTTTTTGTATATAAAATATTTCATTTTTTCGTTACCTTCGCAGAATTTGTTTCATTTAAAAAGTATGATGATGGTTCGAAGGCGACAATTTCAGTTATTAACATTTCAATGATGCACATTATTCTTCCATGCCTATCTTATGATGAACTGACTTTTTTATGCTTGAAAAAGTTCTCATAGAACTGCACTACTCTTTTTTAATAATAAAAGTGTGTGTGTGTGTGTGTGTGTGTGTGTGTGTGTGTGTGTGTGTGTAAGTGAATATAACGTATTATTGACATATATTCTATGACTGTCTTATCATGAATAGTTAATGAGTCAGCATTTTTTTATTCTCGTATGTTTTAGATTAAAGAGTTTGACTGATAATGTTATAAAAAATATCAATAATGTTTCTATTCAACATAGGAAGTTCGAATGAAAGATAATATTGATGTTTTTTTTTTAGTGATACTTTATTAAAAATATTATATTATAGAAATTTTCTATTTTTTCTTCATCTTCTATTAATTTATGTCTTAGCATCTTTTTTTTTTGCAAGGAACTATCACGATTTGTTTTTCTTCTGATATATTAAATACAGAAAAAAAATGACTTTATATCAAATATTTCGATGTTTATTCATAAGAAAGAAACATTACTACAGCGTTCGTTTACAATATGAACTATTGTTCTTCTATGAAAGTTATCTTTTCATTTCTTAGAAGGATAGCATTTTCAAGATTGTTATTTTAATAATTTCTAACAGCTTTCAAAAAATTACAAAAAAAAATTTTTTTAATCGAATAAAAGCATTTTTTGCATGTCCTTAACTATAGAAAAGGCTTTTTTGGAGTCTCAGATGCAATATTAGGAGTTTATTTGATAAATACGACATTCGGCTGAATAATTGATTTGTATGATAAAGTATAAAATCAATATCAAAAAGAATATTTCAAACATTCAAAATGCAAACTTCATTATGACTGTGTTTTTCATCAAAAACATTTGTGGATTCCGATCTTATTTATTATTTTTCATCAGTTAATATTAAATATTTTTTAGAAAATTATGAAATTAAGAAAGATATATATCGAACATAAATCATCTTACTAAGATAGCCGAATGAAAGATACATTTGTGAATCACTTTTTGAAGACGTTTCAAGAAATCAAAATTAACTTCACCATTTGACTTGAAACTGTTATTCTGCTAGGCTTGCTTGTACTGAAGCACTCAGTAATTTGCTTCAAATATGCTTTTTTTCCCCAAGTACTCGAAGCTTCGATGAATACTGAAGAATCTAAAACTGTTAGAGAAATCGAAAAAATATATCCAATAGGATACAGTTTTCGGATGGTCGGAATCCGATGACTGTCGAGAGACTCGAAATCGGAACAGAACGAACAAAAAATATATATTGCCAATTTTCAATCGCTCGCCGCAACCGCATCGTATACTTTTTAAAGTCTGCTTGGGCATAAACAGAAGTAAACATAATGGAATCGACGAAATGCCATTAATACGTGTATGCTTTTTCGGTATTAATTATTTCTAGTAGAACTGCAATATGATTCACATATTAGAAAAAAAAAGCTAATAGGTGCATAATATGTCAAAAAAATGAAAAGATTATATCGTGCATATTGACAGTAATAGCAACAACATATGACAATCGACAAACACAGCATATGGTCGATGCATGAAGTTTTTCTGCTGTTTTTTTTGACTTAATCGAATAAGCGAAATATTGTAATATTGTGACATAGTGACTTCTCAATGTGATAAACTAATAGATAAAAGCAAACTACTATTATTACTGCTGGTTTTTTTCGTTTTCTTTTACATATAAATTATTTTCACATTGTAATATTTGATAAAAGTTTTTATCATTTTTTCTTTTTTCTTATATTTATCATTTAAACGACGAATGTCATTTATAAAATGTTGTCTTCTATTAATAACAAACATTTCATTTCAATTGGAATTATATTCACTGTGATAACATTATTCGTAATTTTTTATATCAATTTTTCTACGAAACCCTATCAAACTACTTTTCTAAATCTTCGACTTAACCATAGTAAAAATCATAATCAAATAATATTACCACGTATATGCTGTTTAATATTGACAACACCAAAAAATTTTCTCACACGTGCAAAAGCTATTAATGAAACTTGGGCGCCACGATGTGATCGTTATGTTTTCGTAACAGAATATCCTCGAGAAGAAATGACAGCTGAACAAATTAGTTTTACAGAACAAATACCTATTGCACCAATTAAAGGTATTGTACCTGGTTATGAACATCTAACACAAAAATCAGTATTAGCTTTTTTATATGCATATGAAAATTATTTGAATGATTTTGATTGGTTTATTAAAGCAGATGATGATACATATTTAATTATTGAACATTTAAAAAAATTTTTAAGTAAACAAAATTCATCAGAACCTATTACATTTGGATATAATTTTAAGGTAATTATTAATGACTTATTATCTATTGTACAATTCAATATATTAAATTATTTTTGTTTGTTTCTCTTTATGATTTACATGAGTGTAAATATTCTTTTAAAGTTATATATATATACAAATAGATTCGACTAATCTAATTTAGAAATACACAAGCTAGAATTGTCTTCATCAATTGTATACTAGTGACATAACACAATAAACAATTAGATCTTCCATCAAATGATCAAAAAAATATTAGACAATATACAATGTTTTATCTAGATTCCTTCTTTTGAAAGGATAATTTACAAGTCTAGGAGGGTGTACATATATATTTTTCAGAGCACATGTACACAGCCCATAGTAGAAGGCTCACAAACAGTGGGAACACTGAATGAAACAGTGACAACAAATCTTATAATCTTCGACTGATAAGTCTCTACATTATATAACAGTCGATTGTCTCAGATACAGTTCGACAAAGGAAAAAAAAAGAAATCTCTTCTTTTATTAGATGTGCTATTTCTTTATGGTATTCTTTGAAGATATTAATGCTCTCGAACTAGATTTATCTCAATACAGAAAATAAAAGAAAGAGAATGTTGTAAGTAGCTAGTAGTAGATGAATTTAAAAATTTCTTACAGCCTATTTAAGTCTAATCTTTTGTTCTTTTCTAATAGTTTTAGTACATTAACAGATTAACTAAACTATAATTTTGCGATAAAATCTTTTTCAAAGTTGAATAATTATGATTTGTAATTTCATAAAAGAATCTATTGGTTAAAATTTGTATAGGTTATCGTTCCACAAGGATACCATTCCGGTGGAGCATCTTATGTGTTAAGTCGAGAATCATTACGACGATTTCATGAAGCACATAAAGATCCAACATCAAATTGCCGTAAAGATGAAGGTAGTGAAGATGTTGAAATAGCTAATTGTCTTCGTACAAAAGGTGTTTATCCAGGCAAATCACTCGATAAAGAAAATCGTGAATTATTTCATCCACTTTCATTTACTGATCATTTTCGGGGCTATTTCCCTGATTGGCTTCTAAAATATGCTGAAAATTCATTACGCACTGTAAGTTTATTAAAAGAAATTTTTTTTTTGTCTTTGTTTTTTTTTTTAATTATCAATATATGTTTTCTTTTTAGCACTACGATTGTTGTAGTGATGAAACTATATCATTTCATTATGTTTCTCCTGAAGAACAATATCTTATGAATTTTCTATTATATCGAGCTCATCCAACATCAAACATAATTAAGTCAAACAGCTCATCAACATGAGTAGAATAATGTAATGATAAGAATATTTGGTTGATTTTATTTTGTTTTTTTTTCCTGCAGTTGAAATTAAGTTATATATATTTTTCAAATGTTTATTTATAAGAGTGTTGGTAATCTATGTTAACATGACAAACATTCGTCTTTTGCAAATCGAACAGATATCATTTTCACTAATATTCAGATCTCAATGAGTTATCAAAAAATGATGCGTTGAACAAAAAGTATTAGATCAATTTACAGCAAATTAATATCCGAAAAAACCTTCTAATAACATGTCAATAATACTTAACATACCAATTAAAATTCATTGACATTTATAATTTGTCTTTTGATATAAATACGTGCTATGTGTCAGTCACAGTTCTTTAGTATTTGTTTTCCATGAACATATGACAATGAGTCCAACATGTCTAAACACTACTTGTAACAGCAAGTAACATATTAATAACACGTAAAATATACCCACCTTATTCTTTTTAAATACCCATAAGAACTTGCAATGCACTGATAGCTATACAAATGAAATAACTTTGTCCTTGAAAACATCTAAAGATAGGCAAATCGTGTAAAAGAAATAAAATTTTCTTAAGATCTGTTTCTTTGTCAGAAGTTTTACAATCGATCCTGTTGAAACTTTTAAAGAATGTATCTTCTGTTCTGCATAGTTTACATTGAAAGTTGGAGTGTAAAATATTCGAGTTGTTCAAGATCTATCATAACATGAAAGGTCAAAAATTAGTTGTCCATAGAGCATAGTTTTCTTCTCTCGATCTAGTGATACGAAAATTAGAATTGATGTCAAAATGTAGTGAAGATGTGCTGCTATAACTTAACAAGGTCAACTTTTATTTCTATAACTTATCAAGAAGTTTTTATTTTCAAATAGGAAAAAATTTATTGTCCTTGAATATGAACTAGGAAAATAAAAATTTCAACATTGTTTACTTAAAGTATATAGCTATTACTTCATTTTAAAACATTTCCGAACTTCTTAATATTTAAAATAGCCAAGAAATCTTTGACAAACAAAGAAGTAATATCCAAACTCTACGTTAAAAAATGTGACACAAACTTTCGTTTCGGAAATGAAGCATTTTTCCTTTATAAAGCGATATAACAAAAGATCTATATATAATTAGCACGAAACTTCAATCACCCAAAGACATAGATTGCATTTGTCAGAGACATAACAGCTATATTTACTATCATTTGAAACTTGTAGAAAACTTCGAAATATATCGATAACTGACGTATTAGAATTGAGTACAAAACCTCATGCAGAACAAATAAGGTTCTTATTTTCATTTTTGTATTCAGCAAAATAAATATCAAATAGTCATCTATTCTACAGGCTATTTAATTTTCTTGTCTAATTAGTTCCACTATAAAGAGTTGTTTTTTATACTGTTTGTGAAAGTAGATGATATTAAATAAATTAATCACGCTATGCCAAATAAAAATTGAAATTTCTCTTGATGACTTTTGTGAAAAATTATAAATTAAATCAATAGTTTGTTGACATCTATTAACTTCGAAATCTAAATACTAATAAAGCTAATTGAGTTCTTTTTTTTTACATTATCTGTGGGATCACTACTGTCATCCTCTGATTCTTCTCGATTTTCCTTTGAATATCGAAGATATCTTATTCAATTCCATTGAATAGATGAATCAGATATGTTTTCGAAATAAAATTCCTAAGACATCACCAATCACTTTTCAACTAATGAATTATATTTGTTTGTAAACATGAATGCATATAAAGTGAATACAATTGATCAATCAAGATAGTGTTTTAAATGTTAATGAATTTTTCTATTGGATATGTTTAAGACAGTATTTTTACTTTTATAAATTTTGCCTATTTTAAAATGTTTCCAAGTATAAAGTTATTCCATTTCTATAGTAAGAAGTACATTACATGTTTTTCTGAGTATTGTTAAATATAAGTTATATGTGTTTTACGTGTTATTAAAATCCTTCTTGCTATTAATTAGAAAGTATCAAGACATGTTTGAGTCGTTGTCAGGTGTTTATGGAGAACAAAGTACTAAAGAATGATATTGATTCATATCAGAATATTAGTGGATATAAATTGACTGTCCTGAACATGTCATTAGAGGTCTTTTGTGGGTGTTAATATACTGAAGGTTGATCTAATACTCTTTGCTGAGTAAAATATTTTCTGATGACCTATGTAAAATGGATGTTAGTGAAGATAATATCTGTTCGATTTGAAACGTTGAGTATTTGTTGTGTTAGTATAAATTACGGATATTCTATTTACAATGCTGTTATAGTTTTGTTTTGTTTTTTGTTAAATATTTTGATTATATAAAAATGATTTGGTGATGGTAGCAAAACATAGGAAATGAATAAAATCATAATACTATGATTTATTTTTAGGCAATACAGTAGCAAGTTGGCTTTTAAAGTATTTTATAGATTTCTTTGATTCAGACTGATTTCTATCATAAAAATATATATCCAATTTATCATCGTTTTATTTAATAAAACATGAATATGAACATTGCATTCACACGCAAAAAAAAACACTTGACAAAAGCATTCAATTCGAGATTAAAACAATTAAATCAGTCAATAATATTTAAATATTCAAAAAAAAAAAATTCTATTGAATTTTTATTTTTATATAAGATATTGATTTAAAAATATTTACTTTCAAGATTAACAATAACATAATTGATTAATTCCATCCATTGTTGTAAATATCGAACAATAACAACTGAATGTATATGATGAATAAATGATGGAGCAAGACGATGTTGTCTTGAAAATTTTATTCGACCAGCTTCATTGACTAATTTCCATTTTTGAGAGAAAACATTCAGAGCACTTCGATATCGACAAATTATTTCAAATCTTAAATTATCCTGTATTTTTTTAAATGATTGATCAATTGTTTCAGCATATTCAACTTTTAAATCAAGTAAATCTTGTATGGAATTATAATAAAAAAGCATAGCATTATGTGCTTCGTAGAAAAGTTCACTTAAAAATTCCTATGCAAAAAACAACAACAATAAATAAATAAATAAATATTATAAAACATTTTTTTGCTTACATACTTTATCAATATTATTAGCTCGAAAAAATGCATTATGAAATTCTGGTATTGGTACATTATATTGTGTATAATTCATTTCTATATTAATATAACGATTGAGTGTTTCAAGAGCTTTTGTTTGTTCAATCTAAAGAACAAAAAAAAAGACAAAATAATTAAAATTTTATTGTTTTTTTTATATTTTTTTAAATTATACTTACAGTTTGTTCTATTTCACCGGATGCACGTGCAATACCTTTGGCTATTGTTTCAATTATTTTTAATTCTTCTTTTATACATAATATACTACCCGTTGTTTTACACATATTATCATTTTGTGAATGTTGTAAAGTAAATGAAAATACACATACAATTGATAGAAGAATAAGTATCAAACTTGATAAAGTAATAGCCATCGTTGTAACTAAATAGATAATCATATCAATATGGTTTTTTCAACTCGAAAAATTTCTTTTTTCTTATTCTTACTAATTGTTGAAATTCGAGACTAGCTCTTCTGTTAGACAGACGATCCACGTCGAAAGTAGAATGAAGATTCTAAAAGTTCCCACATATATATTGTAACATATCAATACAAATATTAACAGAAAAAAAGCAAAAATACCTGCCTTTTTCTCGATAGAAATGTGGTTGTTGCTCTACGATTTGCTGAAAATTAAGTTTTATTATATACTACGTGGTAACAGCCCACTCATCTCAGTTATCTTCCTTTTTTTTTTATTAATCAATATTGTCTCATGTCTGAAAATATCATTTTTTACAAATATCAACTTACTGAATACTCTGTTTCTTGGTTTTATGCGTGGTTATTTGTATGTTTATCATATATTGAGAACTAATTTTTAATTAAAAAAAATACATTCCTATTGACATTTTCAATAGACAGATGTTGTCTGAGTATATAGAAAATCATCAATAGATTCAATATAATATTATTATCAATACGAAAAAGTCAATATTATCGATAGAACAATGTGCAATGAGATTATTCCATAGAGGAAGTTTTCAAGTTTGTACAAAGTTTTAATAATTAAAAATCTTCAAATGAAATTATGATGCATGATTTTCGATAAAGTCGACATAGTGACTGACTTCACAAACTTTTTATATCTTCAATATATGCGTTCTGGATTAAGATTATGCGATAGACCAAATGAGGTTTTACAAAAAAAAAACAGATAGAAATCTGGAATTCATTAGCTTTTGGATCTTATTTATTGTTTTTCTAAAACTTGAAAAATGATTTTTCTTTTTCAAGAAACGAATATTAATGATCATGATAAAGAATCTTTTATATGACAATCACTTTATTCGATTATTTATTGCAAACTACATCTGTTTTCAGTTGTTAAACAATTGAAAGTTTTTGAAAAAAGACATCTGAATGATCCCACGCCGAAAAATCTTGATACACATACATGTACAAAGACTTAAGTGATGTCATTTTGATACTTTGTATTTTTTGTGACCTAATGAACTGATTCAGAAAGATCAAATGACTATTTTCTTTTCCATTAAACCAATGCTCACAATAATGATAATTCAATGGTATCTTTTTTTCCAAAATTCTTGTTATTTTTAGTTAAATTTGTTGATGGTTACATTTGTGCTTATTTATGTTTTTTGACGTAATATATTCAAATATTTGAAATTTGAAGAGTACATTTGTGAATTAGTACAAAAAAGGGCACGAGCTCGCCTCTTATGTGGGAGTAATGAACTTCTCTTCCATAAATATCACTTTTCCTGATGGCAGCAATAATTTTTGAAAAAAATGTAGCTCAATTAATTTTTAAATGCCTGATCCTGCCCACTCCTAAAATATAATATAGCTGGCAAACGACCCAGCACTTAAAAACTTCTGGCTATGCCACTGATTTATACAGAATTTTATCATATTGTATGAACCATT